ATCTTCTGCAAGAATAGGTGGCATGTTTTAAGGAAGTGTCTATTGACACCTTACTCCTGGGGCTCCTAGGTGGCTCAGTCAGTTAAGCATAAGCATCTGACTCTTGATTTTGTCTCAGGTCATGATCGTAGTATTGTGAGATTGAGCCCCATGTGGGGCTCTGCACTGGGTGTGGAGCCTGCTTGGGATTCTCTCTCCCTCTCCCTCTGCCCCTTCCCCCTCCTCTCTCTCTCTCTAAGAAAACAAAACAAAATTAAAAAAAAAATACACCTATTCTTCACAGAGAAAACCTTAGTCTTACAGTAAGATTTACATATACTCATTGAGATGAGGCAAATATTAACCATTTGCATAAAAACTATAATGCGAAGTATCTTATTACAAAAGTATCTCAGGTAAAGTAATAACCATTTGGATTAAAAGTAACATATAAATAGATTATGTTATCAGGAAAGGATCTAAATTTTCTGAAGGAATGTTCTATTTTTTAACTATGCATGCTTATGTTAATGTATTAGAAATAGTCACTGGTATTAGTCCAGATCACTTAGACTAATGAATACAGTATGACTTACCTACTCCATACTCTACCTTAATTTTCATGCCCCAAACACACACCACCAGCACCACCTTAATCTAAAGTAATTAAGTCCTATATGTTAATATTAATATTATTAATTTACTAATTTAAAAAATATAGTGCTTAGATTATAGGACAGCTGTTATTTAAATGTTCACTACTTGCTGAAGTTTGCACTAAGCACTTTATATCCATTTTCCTAGTTATTCTGTACAAAATAAAAAGAAAGTTAGGGATTGTTATACTGATTTTAGAAAGGAGCTATGAATAAGAGAGCTTAATTATTTTCATTGGTTTCTGCTATAATGGCAATTTCAAGTTACAACCCAGTTTTTTTTCTGCCCTTTACTATCCCATGCTGCACAGAAACATTGTTTTAATGGATGACCTCAAAATTTCTGCCTCTTATGATATTTTAGAGCTATGTATAATAATACAAGCCAAAATTTGCCGAACTTGTAACTGTAAAGCCAGAAGTTTCTAAGGTTAAATGTGACCCAGTTACTAGAATAATACCCAGGACCCCCATAGGAGGCCACATTAAAATACCCTCTGTGATGTTGCATTATGCTCATGAGATTATTAAACTAATTTTGCCAAATTAAGACTTCACTTTAATTTAATTGATTTACAGTCTACATTATTCCAAAAGTATGAAAAAATTACATTGCTTATTTGGTTTCAAAAACTTTCATTCTTTGTCAATATAAGAATGCCACTTACATAACCCATAATGGTTGCTACTATTTCTTTAAAGATTCAAGCATTAATGTATGATACTTAAATAATTGCAAATGCAGAGTTCTTAAGCAGTGCTTCATTAATTCTGTGGACCTGTATACAGAATTTTGTGTGTATGAAATTTATGGAGTACTTACTATGTGGTAAACACTTTTTAAAAGTTTCTAACCTACTATAAATACTAAACTACTTAATCTTACAGTAACAGGGACAATTAAGTAGTTTTAGGAATATATTGAAATCTATTCTGTATCTTTGCCCGTGAGTAGATTGTGTTGAGTGTTAACCTGTACATTTGATAGGATTTTAATATTGACTTCATGTGCTTTGTTCAATATTTGGACTTCCAAAAAAGATTCCCAAATACTAAAAACTTATAAAATCTGGCTTCAACACAGTATCTGAAAGGTGCTTTTATAGATGGTGGGGATGAGGGGAGGGGTAATTTTCCAGCTAGCAAGCAGCAATGATTACCATCTTCTGGTTTGATTCTATTATTGGCTAAATATAGATTGATGTACTTGTCTCCACTGTACCAATGTATAATGCATGAACACGATTACTGGGGTAATTTAGAAACAGGATGCCTTTAATCTTCTGCTCAGATCAATCAATTACAATACATAGGTTATAGAATGTCCTATGATCTTACACTGAATCCTTAATAGAACTAATCTTAGAGCTAAATGAGGTGGGGAAAAATGTGAAGCCCACAGAGATTGCTAATATGAACACAGACAATGGAATTTCAACTATCCTGTGTTTAATTACTCAGAACAAACAGAGACTACTCTGAAGGTTGTAAAGAAAGAAATAATACATCAGGGAGCAAAAAAGCCACTTTTTCTCTTGAAGCACCACTTTTCCGTCTTTAAGGAGGAATTCAAAGGTTTTGAGACTCAATAAACTGTGAAAGTATCAAACTCATACTAGAAACAGTTTGCACTGTTACCTTTTGCATGTCAATACATCTTGTCATATGGCAGATAAATCTGTTTCAAACTGCATTTGGAAATGCCTCTTTCCCTTTAAAACAGTATTCACTCACTGAATTTACTTGTGATTTGAATAAAGGAATAATTTGCCATGTGACCTTGCCATAACCTACTATGTTATTTGATTATGCCTTTATACTGTACCTGAGACCTTAATTACAATGTGCACAATATAAAGTTTGTTCAGTTTTCAATGGAGTTCTTCCTTTTTTAAGTAGCTCCAATGCAGAGCTTAAACTGACAACCATGAGATCACCTGAGCTGAGATCAAGAGTTGGACACTCAACTCACTGAGCCACCTAGGCACCCTGTTTCCTCTGGAGTTCTTGATGCATTTAAGAAGAATGCAGTTGAGCTTGGATTTAGCTAACAAGCTAAGTAGAAAAAGAAGGTGTTTTAGATATGAGGTGCAAATAGCACTGTGGGTATCCAGTGAAGACAAGTAGTGTATGTGAATATATCAGGGCCACTTGCCTGAGTTTGCTGTTCTATTGTCTGTGGCTGGATGTAGGCAGCGAGCAATTCCTAACGGCTGAGTCAGAGTCAGCACCACGGATAGCTCCGCACGTTTAACACCTGGGAGAGGAACTCCAGCTTTTCACAAGCCCAGCTGCAGCTAGGAAACAGAATGATAGAGTGATCAATTTACACTGCAAAAGGGAAGAAAATAAAGCTGTACTTTGGAAGAGGGTGCCTTTTTATGTTCCGAGAGAGGGAACTGTACAGATTCAAGAAAGCCCAAGCTACCATAAGAGCCTACGGGTTGTCATAGATTGCTTCTTTCTTTAAGTAAAGCTAATTAACCTGAAAAGTCAACATTCCCAGGCAATGTCTCACATTTCTAACTCATTTTCATTACTCTGACATGAAAGGGTAAGAATTGCTTTGGTTGTTGGGGGTTATTTGCGGGTTTTTTGTTTGTTTTGTTCTTTTTTTTTTTAGTTTGTTTAGGGGGGATATTTTTTTCTTGGCTGTGCTTTCTGCAACATAAAGTTAAAGTCATGTTTATTTCGTCGTTATTTATTGCAATCCACATGATTCACCTTCCTAAACTAAACCTCTCTCTGCCCTTTTCAGTTCCATCTTCATTTTTTTTTTTTTTACTTCAGATTTGAGTTTGTAACTGAGAAAATATGAACCCGACTAATTCAGGGCATAGGCAAAATAGGCTAAGTAGTTGCAAGAACCCCCAACTCTTTCGTGCAGCTACATGTTTTAATAGAGGACTTAGGACTTTTAGCGGCAGCTGGAAACAGGTTTGTCCGTGTTCTAGTAGTTCTGTAGGTTGGTAGCAGTAGCAAATTCCACTTAGAGAAAGGGACGTGGAGAGAGACTATTAAAGGTTAAAGGAGATAACATAAATGAAGGAAAACAAAGCAAGAAAAACTAGAAAAAACAACTTAGAAAACACCCTCTTTTGGCATGACTTCTCACATTTTATTTCCTAAGTCTCCAGGAGGACTATTTAGACAGAAGTGTATGTATACATGGGATTCCCGCCTTGGCAGGCTCTGAGAAACAAGAACGAAGAGGACTGTATACTGCTCCTTGAACGCTTCCCCATCCCAAACGAGATAATTTCTTAGAAATAGTGGAAGAGAGTAAGTAGAATGGTGTTCCTAGTGTGTTCAGGAGGTAAGTGTCATTGGAGGTCACACCAAGGCTGGTAACTCTTAGCCCCACCCACCTTTTGTTGCTTCCCCCATGCGCCCAGCCTCGCCTATTTCAAACATTTTCCTTGTTTTGTACCAGTTGCTCCCACAGTCTCTGGCCTTCCCATCTTTCTCGCAGCCTCCAGCACCTAGAGACCCAATCAACCCCCAACGTTGCCACTCCTCAGGGTTTCAAGCAATAAAACCGGGCATGCCCAGCGGCGGCGCCAGCAGCCTTTAGTCTTTGGGAGATTTGTCTCAGCTCCGGGCAGGGACTGGAGTGCCAATTCAGCTAGGGCTTCGGCGCCCACCTCCGCGGAGTCCGGGGGATCCGAGCTGCACCCTCAGGCTAAACCTGCACCCTTAAGTGGCTCATCCTCAATCTTCAAACTCCCGAACGCCACCAGAGCATATAAATAGTCCTCACTGAAGGACTGTTTTCCCACCTGTCTTTTCTTTGCAGCTAAGGGTGTTTTAGCTACTGCGGCGTGAGGAGCTCAGGGATGGAGCCCTGTGGCTCGTGGCCGTGGAGATCACCTTCCCAGAGTAGCTGTTTGTCACTGAGTTTTGGAGATTTTCTTGGCTGGCTTCCGCTAAAGCACGCTTGAGTAATCCGAGCTGTGGCGGCGCCCAAGCTCTCGGGATAAAGGGTGTGTGTGTGTGTGTGTGTGCGCGCGCGCGCGCCTCTGTGTGTGTGTGTGTGTGTGTGTGTGTGTGTAAGGGAGAGGGCGGGGAAAGAAACGTCAACTCCCCCCAACCCCCCAGCCTCCTTTTCTTTCTCGCCTTCCTGCAAAAGCCGCACGAGTCTTCCATCCCCCCTCGGCCATCCTCACAGCTCTGGGCAACCGCCAGGTTAAGCCCATTTGCTCTGGGAAATTGGCGCTGTTTGGGAGAAGAGAAACAGATCGATTGCCCTTGTGACTCCCCGCCCCCTTCCCACCCCACCCTACCCCCATCGCTCCCTCCCTCCCTCCCCCGCCACCCCCCTCACCCCGCCTCCTTCCCTCTCCCCACCCCCAAACCCTCTCACCCGCGGCAGTCCGGTGCGGGGGCCCCCTCCGGAAGGTGAAGGGGATGGATTGGACTCCGCTGGGGAAAGCGGGTGTCTCGAAGTGGTGCTAATGGGAAGAGATTTCTGGTTTCAAAAGAGGATGCTCTGCCACAAAGAGCGGCTTGCGCGCTGGCCTGGGCTCTAGCCGAGGAGAGATCCCGGGAGAACTCCAGAGCTCGCGGGGAGCGCTCCTCGGAAGACCGGGGTCAACATGCCTGTTCGCAGGGGGCATGTGGCACCACAAAACACATTTTTGGGGACCATCATACGGAAATTTGAAGGGCAAAGTAAGTTCATTTGTTCTCTTCTCTCTCCCTCGCTTTCTGCTTTGACGGTGCACTTGGCGTTCGCCGCGTACAGGCTGAGGAGCCGGCAACTCCGGGCTCTTCCAAGTTAACAAGCTGTGAAACCAAGCCAGGAGGCTCGAAGGCAGCAGGAGTGTTCTCCCCCAGATATTAATTCTGATTTACATTTTAGATTATGGTCTCCATTATAGGAGGCAATCTGATCCTCCTCTCCCACTGCTCCATTATCTGCCTTGCTACTTAATGTCCTACTCTTCTACTATCTTAAAGGGAACGTACTAGTATAACATGGGTTTATATTTTGAGGCTGTTTAATTGTACACTTTTTGAAAGTCAGGAGTAGAGCCGAGCATACCGCTGGAACAAGGGAATGTAAATGGTAGCAGCGATGTAAACGGCTATGCAAACTATATTTTTACCTTGGTTAAATTGCAAAGCTGTGGTATGACAGGGTTGCTTGCTTGCTGTTAATTCATAGAAGCTAAACTTTGCATTGAATCAATGCAAATATATCCCAAGAAGGATAATTTGGAAAAAGCGATATCTGATCCGTACTAGTTCCCAATGCAATGGTTCATTATTCAAAGCAATATTTCTGCCTCTTTATCATTTCCTTAAATTTCCATCAAGAAATTTGAAAATTGAAATGTAGTAAGTAAATCCCACAACTGAATGCAGAGAAATTTAACATTCTCATGTGGACTAATTGTAAGGAATGAATTATTGTTATATAAATATATTAATTTTAAATCCTTGTTAGTTTATATTCAACATTTCCTTAAAATACATTAACACAAAGTTATGTTGTACATTTTGCAGTTATTTTGGCTGTATTCACTGTATTTAGTGACATGAGGATATAGTACCTTGTGTACAAAATAAACTACTATATCCTGCTCACATTCTATATGGAAATAGTAAATATAATTTATGATTAAAATTTAATAAGCCCTTTGTATTAAAATACCTACTACTACACAAGAATTCAAGGTTCTCCCAAAGTAAAAGTGAAAAGGTGTTAACCTGATATTTATTGTGTATGTGTAAATATTTTTATCTTCTGGAAAATATGTCTTATGAAAGGTGAATCTTCGAATTATTGAACTGTTAATTAACGTGAGATAGTTTTATTGCTAATAGTTTCATGTTTTGTTTTGTTTTGTTTTTTAACATGATGAGTGTGTAGTATGCCTTAGAGGGATAGAGAAAAGCCAAATCCAAAAATAATAGCTACTTTGAGAAAGTTGTACTTTTAAGCGCCAAGGTTGAGGTGAGAAATCTGTCAGCTACAGGATGTTTCATTGTTTGGCTTTGAAAATATTTATCTTACAATTAAATGGCATTCTGGAAATATCAATGGGACAACTGCTTGTTTGAGTGTGCCTTAGGACCCTTGGGAGTCACAAGGCTTGAGAACTAGACTATTTGGGAAATTACATTCTCAAAATTTGAAGAGTAGTTCCTTAATACTTTTCTGTTAAAACTGCCTAGGACCATTAATTTCATATTTAAGGTTTTTGTTTTTTTTCCTTTTAAAACCTTGGGCAGGGGTGCCTGGGTGGTTCAGTCGCTAAGTGTCTGCCTTCGGCTCAGGTCATGCATGATCCCAGGGTCCTGGGATCGAGTCCCGCATTGCATCGGGCTCCCTGCTCGGCAGGGAGCCTGCTTCTCCCTCTCCCACTCCCCCTGCTTGTGTTCCCTTTCTTGCTGTCTTTCTCTCTCTGTCAAATAAATAAATAAAATCTTTAAAAAATAATAATAATAATAAAAATAAAACCCTGAGCAGTTAGCAATTTGGGAAGCACCTGCATTTCAGATCTCCTATTATGCAACAATTTGCTCCAGTGTTTATGAAAATCTTGTGGAAGCTCTCTAAAAGATGCCTTACTATCTTTTTATTACAGATAAAAAATTTATCATTGCAAATGCCAGAGTGCAAAACTGTGCCATCATCTACTGTAATGATGGGTTCTGCGAGATGACTGGTTTCTCCAGGCCAGATGTCATGCAAAAGCCGTGCACCTGTGACTTTCTCCATGGGCCTGAGACCAAGAGGCATGATATTGCCCAAATTGCCCAGGCATTGCTGGGGTCAGAGGAGAGGAAAGTGGAGGTCACCTACTATCACAAAAATGGTAAAGTTCATCTATTTAGAATTCCTTTTATTTGATTTCATTGAATTGAAATTTTGACAACCGATTACTAAAAGTTCATATGCAGAGAAGCTCTGAATATTCAGTTGTAGATATTTGTGCTTATATATTTTCTATATTTTAGGATTCCAGAAATATGGATAGTGTCATTAGTGGACTAGTAGGAACAATTTCTTCTTTGAATAAGGGTACTCTGTACTCTTCAAAAGTGTCGTAACTTACTATCACTGAGGACAAAGTGCCACAAATCAGTCTACTCTCCTCCCTTTCTAGGGAATAATATAAAGGCCAGTGATTTACTGATTGCATTGATATGGATTTGGTAGGAGAGAAATATAGAGTTTTATTTGCTTGAACTTGAAAATATTTCACAGAGAAACTCTTGTTGAAAACTGTGTATCTGCAACTGAAACTCCTGTGGTTATAAATGTTTCTTGGCTTTGCAGCTTTATTTGATAAAAGCTTTAAAAGCTTTATTTGCAACACCTCTTGTTTCTTTTGCTCCTTTTTATACAATATTAAGGGTGATATAGAAGAACTTCAAAAATTGGTCTAGTAAGCTTATGTATATTCAGATAATAAAAGCTGTTCATGTATTCAAGAATTGTCCTAAAATAAGAAACGGACAAAAGGAACTATGATTCTGTGGAGTTGTTTGTACTCATTTTTCAGCTGCAACACAACTGGCATCTCAAACTTGAGGTCATGCTTCAACTTCAAGGGCACTCCTCCTTCTTTCAGGCTTACTATGGGAACATAATGTTAGACCTCTGATAGTTCTCAAAAAATACTCATTTAATAGACATACACTCATTAAATATACCATTGTTGTATATTAACTCACATGTATGAATATTCACATGTACCCATTTAAAAGAATACATATTCTCAAATGTGCACACTTACTGATATTTGACAATTTAGTGCTTAAAGATACATCAGTTAAAAACGCATGTTGCAGTTAGTTTTATCGATGTTGCCTTGTCATTTTTTTTGCCATTGACCAATCAGTGAGGCAGAGGGATATCTAGTCAGATTTTCAGGAAACCTTAAGTCTTGCAAATGAGAAAATGAGTGATGTGTTATAGCTTATATCATATACTGATTCATCATTTGATAAAATACACGGCAGAAATTCTAGCACGGAAAAGGTTAACGCTTCCTCTTATTTTCTTACAATTAAATATTTTATGATAGAAAATGTAATTCTTAATTACTAGATTTTCCTTAACATCGACTTGAATGAGTATATGTGGCAAACTGTGATTAGAAAAACAGGTTTGTATAACTTTGGAGTAATCTGGAATAAAAACAATTATATCATTATCAGCAAACATAGAGATTGTTTTTAAAGTTCTTCTTATCCTGCCCCCCCCACCCCACACACACCACTTTTCAATCAGTAGTGTTGGCTTGCTAGAAATAGCCTAATTGCTATGTTGTCTTGAAAGCATTTCTTGGACTAAGGCTCTCACTACCCAAATGCAACTCATCTTTTTTGTGTGTGTATCTGATGCCAACAATTCGGGCTTTGGAATAATTTGAATGTCTGACATTTTTTCCCCATCTGAATACTTATCACGATGTTGACACAGTTTACATTGTGGTTATACAGGGCATATTGGTCCACATTTGGTCATTATGTTTCTTGGGACATTTCAAGATTTTTTTTTAACTTACAGAATTTAAGTATAAAATGAATCTGGACTGTTAGGATCCCTTAGATACTCACCATATTTTTCAGACAATATTCTGAAATGAAAGTTGTTATTTATTATACTGCAAGTGGAGTGATGTTATTTCAAATCCTTGTGTGACTTGTGCAATGTGAGTGTGTAAAGTGATCTCAAAACACCTAAGAAAGGCAAGTAAATGTGGAATCACAAATGTGAATGTAAAAGTTTCTACAGTGAAGATGCTGGTACATTGATTAATGCAAATCTTTCTACCTGAGGGATGCACTTGGTTGTATGAATTAAAACCTTCTCGTTTTAGACGAGGATTTACTTGAAAACTTGTTTAGGTATATAAATATCAGCCTTTGGTGATGATTTTGATTCTGTTGGCATTATTTTCAGATTTGACTCAGTCCACAAGGACTTGGTAATCTTTAGAGCTAACGACAAATGCTGCCTATTTCGCTTTTATTAATATGGGATACACGAGATGATGGGGTGATGGGCCAAGCTTTTTTTTTCTTTTTCCAAAGAGAAAGATTTATTTTATGACCTTTTTAGATTGCAAAGACACAGTCAGACTTATTTGCTTTGAATGTAATCAACCTGTGTTTTTGAGACTAGTTCAGATGCCTTGAATAGAATCTTCAAAGTGCATTGGTTTTATTCACATGGCAACTGCAAATTCAGTCAGAGCTTGTCAAGTTCAAATGCTTTGATAGTCTTGCCTCTTAGAGACCTGCCAACCACTCTATATTTATAAAAGCAGAAGGGATAAAATCGCCAACATTTTGTATTGGTTTGTTTCTCAGTTTCCTTAATTCTTTATTATTGGGGTCATTTACTTTTGGGAGTTTCTTGGTTTCGTAAGTATGTACAGTAAATGCTTCCTTTATTTATTCTCTATTTAGCACTTTATAGGAGTACAGATAAGAATGTAATAAGCACAATGAGCAACTTAACAAGAAGTTGAGATATTGTTTCCACTTTTTCCATTCACTCATACTGGTGTAGCAAATACATGAGCATGGTATTATTTCTGAAAGCTTGTTTTTCAGACTGGCCAGAGGCTTTATGTTTAAACCCATGATTTATGTAATGAGTTCACATAGATGAGCTATATGATCACTCTTAGTAGGCAACACTTCCTACCATCCTACTTTATGTGATTTTACCAGGTACAGTTGAACTTGCTGTTTACCAGAATATCAATTTTTAAAAACCTAGTTATTTGCAGTAGGAATATTTGACAGCCCTTCCTTTGAGGATTCTATTTTACAGTTTAAGTCATTATTTCATAAATCATTCTTGGCAGCTGTGAAATATTGCTTGAGGTGATAAAGCTGTAAATCTTTTGACATAAAGCTCTAATTATACAAAACTATAATTACACTGAGCTTTATACAAGGATGGGTATGTATTTTAATAATATAATACATTCACTTTAAGCACAACTTTTTAGGGGTGCCTGGCTGGCTCAGTCAGTAGAGCATGTGGCTCTTGGTCTTGGGGTTGTGAGTTCAAGCCCCATATTGGGCATAGAGCTTACTGAGAAAATAAAAACCTTTTTTTTTTTAGCTTTCGATTGGATTGAGGAATAACAAACACTTCAGTTATTAAACTAGATCGTAGTTTGAAGGTGATGCTAATACTAAGGAAACAGAGAAGTCGGTCATCTTTCAGTTTATTGCTTGTCAGGTTTGGAGTGTGTCATTGGAATAGAGCTAGCTGGTGAAGTGCTTATCCACTTCAGGCATATGTAGACATGTGATTTTTATCTTAAATTACCAAGCAACTCTAAACATTTGGAAAAATCAAAGTAAGTTTCTCCAAAAGAAATAAAGGTCTTAACTCAGTAGGAAAACAGGACATATACAACGCTTTATTTCTAGAGGTAGGAGCATTCCTATATTTTTGCCATTATGCTCTCAGACATGGTACAATGGCAATTTTGTTAACAAATCAGGAATGTCCCTATCTTTGCCTTGCTTTCAAAGAACTAAAGGATGAGAGGAGGCCGAGGGAAGTCCTTTCTTGATCCAGACAGGGACCAGATCCAGACAGGGCACCAGTTATGTTGGGACAAAGTTCCAGAGGCAGTGTTTGAGTCAGCTAAACTCAAAAGAGGTTTTGGTTTGATAACATTAAATCTACCATCTCTGAGAGTTTTTTGGAAAGAACTGATAGAAAGTGTTGCGTTGTTGGAAGTAGAGGTGAAGGTGTGTACCGAGTGCCACCACCTCTCTTTAAGGCAATGTTTTAGGCACTAGAGGAACATCCTATTGGAGGAGATGCAGAAGAGGACACAAACTCATTTCTGCTTTCAGAATATTTGTATTATGGAGTGACTAAGGTTCACTTCTATCTTCTAAACCCCAAGATGTTTTCATGAAATTGTTTTTAAAGGAAAAAAATAGACTACGAAATGAAGAAGCTTTTATATAAACAGAGAACAGAATTTAGGATTAATTACCACTCTATCTCCCCACTGTAAAATAAACTTATGTTTGTGTATTTCCTGTCTCCTTTTATCATTTATATGTAATAACTAACTTATTAAAGAAGCAATGTAGTTTACTTAAAACTTTATAGTTCAAAAATAAATCTTATAATAGTTCTATATAAGTTATATGACATGTAAAATATTCGACCTTCATAATTTCTGAAATGTGTAGTAGAGATACAGATGCTGGTTTTTAGAGAAGAATGGAAATATATTATATGTATGTGTAATTCAAGCAATAAGAAGAATTTTCAGGGAGTATCTTGCCTAGAATTTATTTTGGTGTTCATTTTAACTTTTTGTTTATACATTCTCATGTTTCATCCACCAGAGTACAGTAACAGTAATCTTAAAATACTGTCTTTCATATACCTAAACTTTGTAACATCTCAGGGACTCTGGATATTATATACTCTTAAATTTGATCACTGTGTTTATTGAGAAACTAAGAATTCTCTAGAAACATTTTCTTCACAATTTGAAAACTTTATTTTACTATTATCCCAAATGAAAACAAAATGTCCCAAAACTGTAGTTGGGCTATGCTCATCAGTCCCCTGTTTACCACCCGCCAGCACCATACCTCTTGCAGCTCTGGTGCTTAAAAAGAAGCCATGTTGTCTGCAGGCTTCAGAGATAACTGCTCAGTTATTTTCACACCCAAGGGACTTGAGAGCACGGTCAGTTTAGGGCGATAGGGGTAGGCTAGCCTTCGTGGGAGGAACTGACTTCTCTGGCTTCTAATGGCTTTCAACATTGTTTTTATTTTTATTTTTTCACTACAAATAGTCACTAAATCAATT